AGCCTTGGCTCCGGCCTTTCAGGAGCGCCGGCAAACAGGCTTGGGTGTGCGGCAGTTCTTCCAGTGCCCGAGTCTAAGAAATGAAATGAGTTCATCTCTGGTCTCAAGGTTTAGGGAGAAACCTAGGATGAGTCTGGAGGCACCCTGTCTGGGGAGACGACTGTGTGGGAGTAGCCTGGACCCATCCATAAGGCTTGAATTTTCCATGGCTCTTCAGCAGCAGCGATAACAACCAAGAAAGCTGTTTGTAAGGAAAAGGGCAGTCACAACTAATGTAGCGGTGATACAGAAGTTCTCTCATCAGGTACGTTGTGAGCTGCAGGCCTGATTCCGTGGCCCAGGGGACCTGCTGACTCAAGATCTCTACTGTAGAAGAGGTCAACACTGGAATCGTTACGTGAGGAACGGTTCCTCTGTAAGCAGGCAGCCCGGGTGTTTTAGCCTGCCTCGATCTGAGGGAATCGATCTCGAATCTCATTCGGGAAGACTTGCACCGACGGAGAGTTCACTTCCTTATTCAAGTAAACAAAGCCGGTGGGAGCCGTGCCTACTACCGCCGTGTGCTTTCTTCGGGAAAGCTCTCCCATGCCTCATCCAGGAGTTGGCGGGGTGCATGCCAGCCTCAGGCTGGTGACTCACCCGTCAGCCACGAAGAGATGCCCTTGGAGAGGAGGGATCTCTCTGCACCCCGCTGCTTGATACAACGCGCGGCGGTGATGGCGTCCGTCGTCACTGGTGTGATGGGGGCGATCCTGGGCACGGTGCAAGCGCCAATCAGCCCTTCCTGCTGGCTCCCGGGTCCGCAGCGCCGAGCCGAGCCTCTCCCAGGCCTGCAGCACTCAGGCCGAGTGCGTGTGGCACACAAGCGCCCGGAGAAAAACAGATCCTTCCCGCCTGCCTCCCCCGGCCCTGGATTTCTCAAGAGAGAGAAATAGGAAGATGTTACACAAGGGTTTGCTGAAATTAATTGCTGAGGAGATCTGATGTGACAGGTCCGAGAGCCTCGTGAAGTCCTTACAAAAGCCCCATGCTTTCCAAGTCCTCTAAAGTATCAAGTATACTTGCATCTTTCATATGACATAATTCTGGGAAAGTAAATAGAGATCATCTCTTTTTTCCCTAGTATAGTAGACTTTGTCACTAATTCAGGCTTCTTGACTTCTAGAAATTGATGTCGTTTGTAATACACACAGACAGGCCAAACTGAGTCAACTTGGAATGAGTAATTACAATTTTAAGCTCAAAAGAAAAAAAAAAAAAAAAAAAAAAAGTAGCCAGAGCCTGTGCTTGAAGAAGGGAGCAGGCTCAAACAGCTACAAAGCCACTGCTCCGCAGAAGGGCAATCTGCCTGTCCCTCGAAACACTGTACCTACGTGACTCCAGCGAGGGAGCCTCGCTGGCTTCAGTCAGCAGGCAACTAAACCAGTGAGTCACTGCTACGCTTTCCCAAGTACAGTCACGCCAAGGTGTGCGTTGTTACTCAAACACCTTTTACTGAAAGCGTGTCATCATCTGGAATCGGCGACAGACAGATCTGTTCTGATTCATCCACATAAGCTTAACCATGGGAAAGGCTGGCGGGGTGGCTTGGCTGCCTCTGATGTTTGGGACATCCCTGTTTGACCCCGTTCTCTGTTTATTGCCAGCCATCCACGCTGGGATTTCTCTATACCTGGCTAGCACGTTTCTTTATTTGCTAATGAAAGCTTCATTGAAAAGAAGCCTGACCTGCGTGTACCAGCACTGAGATGTTACTGCTGGCCGCTGTTGTCTTCGAGAAGAGGAGGGTAGAACAAGATCCGTCACGGCCCCGTGAGCTCCTCGGCCGCTCCTTGCCTGCTGCCGCCTCCGCCCCAGTTTGTGCTAACCAGCAAAAGCCTGTGGGTACAGCTTCGCACAGCTAGCCAATCATAAAGCAATCATACATTAATTGCATATAATTACAAAACCTGTTAAATGCCATTAATCCCTATGAGCGTGCCAAAGGCCCTGTGTCCGTACGGTCTCTGGCTGGTTGCGGTCTGTGGTTCAGGAGCAGCTGAATCGCAGGCTGGGTGTTAAATGGCTGCCGAAGAGCAGGGTGTGCCAAGCCGCTCCGGCCACAGGGGGCCGGGGGGGGCCCCCAGGGCAAGCTGAGGGGGGCAGAACGCCCGGCGGCAGCGCGGGCGAGCGCCGCTACCCCCTCCTCAACCGCTTTTCAGGGCACCTTGCAAAAACTACAGCGGCGAGATGCGTGGCGCTAACGCCACGTTACGGCACGGCCGTTCGCCGGTGCTGACGGTGAGCGCGCAGGCCTGGATTTGAGCTCGGGTGTTTCAGTTGCTCTCTCCCTCCGGTACTGAGGTACTTCATTTCAGCCTAAAACATCCATCTCTACTGGTGAAACTTCAACTCACGCACATCGTCACAAGAAAAAAAAAATGCAAGTTTACGCACCACCTATGCAGATTCGGCAAACTGGTACACAACCAACCATTCCATCTAACAAGAAGAACCTGAGACGAGCACCCTATTTTCCCCAAGAGTTACGGCAGGGTGGGCGAGCCATCCCCCCCATGACTGGCAAGGACGGACGCGTGGCTGAGATAAGGCTCCTCTCACAAGCACGGCGAATGTTTTAACTGAGATTTTGAAACCCGTTGTGTTCCGCGTTGCAGCGCTGCCCGGACCGCACCAGTTTGCTAAGATGGTAAGCGGGACAAGCGTATCAAACGTCCTCTAGCTGAGAAGCAGCTGGGTAAAGTTTACTAAGCCATTTAAATCCTTCTGAAGCTCTGCCTAAGAAACGGCAACCTCAACCTTTAAACAAAAAGCTATGTTAGCAGATGCCAGCCGTGACAACTTTTAAGCCCGAACGAACAAGTTTGATCTATGCAAGAGAATAACTGAAAGTTTGCAAATTAACATGCGTCCGCACACAAAGCTGTATTTTTCCAAGGCAACCGAGCTTACGTTTGCCCTGCTTTCCGTTTCAATTTATTACTCTCTGTGAACATGGTCAGCGCTGTTCAGCACGAGCTATTCAGCGCCTGCGGCGCCGAGGACTCGCTCCCCGCGAGGTCTGACCTCCGACTTGCTGCAGCGCGGGGGACGCGGCCGGGAGCTTCTGCCGCCCTTGCGCCGCGAACGCCCGGAGTGACAAACCGCATTGACGTGCACATCGGAGGTTACGCATCGGTCAAGATATCACTTTTATTGACTGGATTTTCCATTTCTGTCGCACACCATGAATGTTTATACAATGAAAAAGCCAAACATTGCTGGAAGCGATAAGATCAGCTGATATTTCTGTACCCTCTTAACACACACACGTGGACTCTTTCTTGGTGAGAAATTTTTATATTTCTGTTCGTTAATTCTGCTTATTTATACTGCTACTCTTAAAATTCTGTGTCAAGATTGTCACATCTTAAATACAGATTAAGTTGCTAGAGGTACATTATTTTTTTATATATATTTATATACACACATACAGAAAAATACAAGACTAATTGCTTTTCCACAATATTTAATTTATACACTACCGTAACTATATGCAACTTTTAAAGACACGTTAAGGGGTACAAGAAACTGTTTACTTGCTCTAAATAGTTTGGTCCAATAGTATCGTAATGTAGTGGTTATTCTCGCCCTTCCTTGTACGTGACAACAGAATACAACATACACCACATGCACAGTCGTTCACCTATCAACGAATGGAGAAAGGACACCACTCAGACTAACATCTGTACGCCCAGAGGTTCAACCAACCACGCACAACTATAAGGCTATAATACAACTATGCAGCATAAATGGTCAACACTGCTGTTCTAAAGTGAGCACCATATATACAGTTGTATATAAAAACATCGGAAACAAAATACACCCGGGGTTAGTTAAAAGGTGCCATTCCAAGGCTGTACATAATATCAGGAAAGAGTATTTACAATGCTTGGAAAAAAGCTGCAACAAATAAGTTTATTGCCAATGCCCTTTATAAACTTGTCTCCTACTCGGATGTTGCGCTCACTCGCTGTGAACCACACATCTCATTTCTGGCCCTTGGTAAGATCCCTGCTCAAAAACGTCAAGCAAATATGTTCTATGGCTTCACCCACACATCTATTCTTGTAGCTTCTGATTTATAAATATCACACTGACTAAACTGCAACTAGAGTTTAAAACTTAAAGAAGGAAAACGCTTATCCTTTGCCTTGTTTCGGAAGCAGAATGTAAAATCCCTGGCTAGGCTAGCCAGTAAGAATACCCCATGCAATTTAGACTCTTAGTAAAGTCGTTTACTAATCGAGAAGAGCTGGCATGAGCTGTAGGAATTACGACCAAGCGTAACGCGGTTCTTTGGTGCTCTGCTCGCTCTGCGGTGGATGTGAAATGCATTGTATTTGACCATTCTGCAAGCGTTACAAGATGCTCAACAGTGTAAACTCCTCTCAGACATCCAATGTCTGCCCAGGACGCTGCTACATAATACCACCAGTTTCACTAGCATTGCTTAGATAGACCCAGTGCACAGCATGAAAAAATAAAACATTCTTGCCCTTCCCAAAACTAGCAATCTGCAATATATTTTATTCTAGATAATAAAATTCCACAAAGTTAATTCATCTGGTCAAAAGTATCCTTTCGTACAGAAATACTCTAAATCAAGACCTTGCCGTGGCAACGGGAAACCCGACAGAAAGGCTAAGAGCTGTAAAATAAATACTTTCCTATATGCTATTTTAAATTGACTTTATGAAAAAGCATGATTACTGAGGGAAAATAAGTGGTGTACATGGGGGGAACAGCAATATTTTAAGTCTTAGAAAGTAGTAATGAGAAAAATGTAAATGACAATAACAATTTCCGTTTGAATCCAATTACCTAAAGGTTTTCCATCCCTTATTGCCTTTTGAAATCTCAAGGGAGGGGAGGAGAGGGGAGGGGAGAAGGTTTACAAGGTAAAAACCTAAAATATTAAGTGTCATGATATACTAATAACAAAAGTAATTAATACAAATACTTTATTTTCAGTTAGCATGTAAAAACTCAGAAGTAAACTTAATTTACCTTTGTTATATTAAAAAAGAAGATTGTCTGCTTGTAATATTAACACATTTCTATGGGAGAAAGCTGCCTTACAAATCTACTTGCCTTTTTTTTTTTTTTTTCCCCAAAAGAAAACTGCCTCTAGCAAAACAAGATCTTTTCAGTTTGATTTTTGAGCCACAACTTTATCCATATCATAGCTTAAGACAAATAGGTGTGGGTTTAAAATCATATTTCAAGATCACTAATTTTCAGTGCATCTTTGCTTTGTACAAGCCTTGGAACATCTGAAAGCTCCCTGAAGAGTTTTCAGCATCAAAACATTATTGCTTTGGTTCTGTTTCAGACACATAGAAGTATGCCACATATCACATATTTTAGTTATCACAGAAGGTCAGAACAAGAATTAACATTTCACAAGCAAACAAAAGCTTCTCTCTCTAGTTTAAGTGCAGAACATGAAACTTCTAAGTGCTCCATTTACATTAGGATCCAGATATTTATTTTAATTTAATCCAGATCTTCCATAGTAAAATTATAAATGTAAAAATTACACAATAAAATATTCTGTTTTGTTGAAAAAGAAAAACATATCGGCTAGCAGCATGCAAAGACCATGCATTGTCATACCATCAAGCAAACACAAAATTAAAGTGTAATAAATAACTGCTCAAAGCCCACTTAAAAATCTTAAGACAACAAAAGGGGGTCCGGTGACAAGGTGTTCACAGCTCTGAACAGGAAGAATGATGCTGTCAAGTAGATCGAGCTATTAAAGTCAGGTCATTGTCAAATGACATGACAACAACTGCTCTGACTGGAGGTACACAGCAGCCCCTCCTTTGGGTTCCGCTGAATATTCACAGATATCGTCTTTTCACAGAGAGGTAGTTGTAGCACATTGTTTTTCAAGTTCCTGTTCTTTATCCGTTCCAATTCGTTTGCTGTGTCTGACATTTGGTCAGAAAAAAATTTTAGGTTGCCCAACGATGAAGCCTGGTTTGCGCTTCCACTGGAACTTATACACATTTTCCATGTCGATTTCTCCTGTACTTTTACACTGGAAAAGGACAGATTGTTTTGAGGATCAATAATGTATTTAGTGCTGCCGTGAATCTGTGAGCCTAGGCAAAGGCTCATCAACTTCAGGCTTTCAACCAGTTCCCCTGCACTTCTAGACGACAGCTGCATTGAGTTTCCGGATCCAGCACACCTACGAGTGGAACCTGAAGTGGTGTTGGTGCTACCGCTGGAGCTACCGGAGGGACTCCCCCCACCTTTGTTGTTATCGCTTGGGCTTGTTTTGTCTACCCCTCCGTTTCCATTACTCGGCTTGCTTTGTCCACCACCGTCTCCTTGGCTGCCAGGCGGCCCTTCGCTACTATCCCGTCTATGCCAGGAGTAAGTAAACCCACTATCTTTGTCGAGGCGTCTCCTGCTTTCTGAGTCGTCATCACTTGTTTCTGAGCTACTGCAGCTAGAGCCCCGCCCCTGGCTTTTCCTCCTGTGATAGCGTTTATGCACTGTGCTAGGTGAAGCAATATTCATTTTTAACCTGCTGAGTTTTGGGGGTAAGTTCTCATCCATGTCAAACTCGTCATCCGACTCGCCCTCCTCAAAGATTTGATTGAGGACCGGTGCACTCTTTCTCGAAGTAAGACGATTTGTAACTGAAGGCTTACGGCGCAGAACAACTTGAGTAGAAAGAGAAATAGGCTTCTTATCTTCTTCGTCCTCCTCTTCATCTTCTTCTACTCGGAACAAGCACTTCCGGCCACTCGTAGTGGGTTTTAAGCTCACCGACGGGACTGCTGAAAGTGCCGGTCCAGCTAATTCAGGGATGTCTTCTTTCTTTGCTGAATCGCCAAGGGCCTTGCTTCTGTGGCCGTTGAGAACATTCTCAGCCGTGCGAGCCGGTGACTGAGGAACAGTTGCATGGGAGAGAGGAGTAGCTGTAAGGTCGTCCTCCAGATCTTGGGGTACATCGATTTTTGTTGGCCACGATTGCCTACGTAAACAATTATAAAAGGATAAAGGAAAAGTTAGATCATGGCGAGCATTTTGGAACATGTAAGAAAATGTAAGATCTGCACAAGAGAAGCAGAAGTACGGCCACACACACTGGCCTGCTGAGTGGCATGTTTGTAAATACCAGTACTGAGTAACTGAGGAAAAGGAAACATTCTCGGAGAAGGCGCATTCCTTTAGAAATGCTGTTATTTGAAAGGAACATCACATACACAAAAGCATAGTTTAGAAATTATGTTGGTTACTGTCAAATGAAACCTTAAGATTTCACTGCTCTCATAAAATGAATTAAGCAATAAAAAGCTTTAAATAATTGTGTCTCAAAGAAAATAATCTGAAGTAGGTATAGAACCACCAGTACCTAGAGGAAGATATGAGCTGATTGAAGCACAACTTAAATAAGACAGTACTGCAAACTAGTTTTAATCTGAAGCTTCTGTTATTTTTTTCCCCAGTATTCTTAATATAAAAATTAGGTTAGAATTAACATGAGTGAGACTGAAAAGCTGAGTCAGAAGAAACATTCTCTCATTTTCAGTAAGTCTCGTTCAGACCAAGCTCTATTCTACAAAATCCCCTTTAATTTTAAACACCCATGAATTGAGATCATACATTTATTTGACCTTAGCTGAGCAACTGGAATAATACAGCTGCATGAATTCAGGACTCAAGCTGCTTACGAATATCGCGCTTGAATAAACTGTAAATCAAAGTTCAAAATGTATGACTGTGTACTAGCATTAGCTCAAATCAAAATCAAAGTAACACTTGAGTGTAAATCAGTTTTACAGTTAACAGATGATGTCTCATCTCCAGCGTCTAAGCTAGCATCTAATAATTTGTATTTTACTTTAAAGCCTAAAATATATTGTAATTTTCCCATAATGCACACGGAATAAATTAAGAACAAAGACTGTCAGTCTTTCCTCTCTGTATTTTGAAGGCCTAATCCAGAAGACCAACACCTACACACCAACACCTTAACACTGAATAATTCTTCAATTGCTTCACTCAGCATAAGCCCCACATTTCTTCTGGAGACCAAGATATTTTTTCTAACCTCTCAAAGTAAGAGTTATCTTTAAGTTAAAAAAGTTTGCCAATCGCTTAACTTTACATAACTAAAATACTCTAGCATACTGCATGAAAAGCTGTAGTAGAGACCTCTGTTCACATATGGATAGCATATTACAAGACATTCCCAACCATATTTTGGGTCTGCCAAAAGAAAGAGCTGCATCACTTTGTAGCCCCATTTAGAAGCAAAGTGTAGGAGGAAAGCAGGAGAGGAAGCAGAGAACGTTTTGCACCAAGTGTGACCCCAGATATCTGCTTGGACAGCCTGCATACGAAGACGGAAGGATCATACCAACTTCCTTATCTCTGCTGTGTTAAGAGGCCAAGCTGAAGAAACCAAGAAGGCTCAGACACCTCTGATGTTCTTATTGTAAACGTGTTCTTTTAAAGTGTTTAAAGTCAATGGAAGCACCTGCAGTAAGAACGCATTTGCTCAAGGCTCCCTCTGTAATGGCTGGATAGAAAAGGATCCTGAAGCATGAGACGCCTGTCTACATGGGTAACAACTGCCAACTATCTTCCCAACTATATGAACTTTGAAGAGGAGTACTCTATTAAAGCCAACATTAAACTTCAAGCCTAACTGCAGACTTTGTTTTGAAGAGCTAGCTTCAGTTTTGCTTAACGAACCAGTGATACAAAAATCCACCAGGATCCTCTAGCAGTAGGACCTGGATGCCAACACACCAGTGTGAGCCCATGTAGTCCATTCCCTGGGAGGAGCCACACAGGCTCCTTCCAGTTTCGCTGGGCTCTGGGAGCTGCTGGTGCCCTCCCACCAGTTTCCCTCCAGCGAGCAGCTCTGCCTGGAGGGAGGCCACACAACCAGCAGCTCCGACCCAAGCTGTCCAGACAAGAAGTGGAGCCTAGGCTGTGGGCCTCCTCGGTCTGACACTGGCATCCTCCCTTAGGCCCCCGCTGACTCCAGAAACGCTGGGAACCACTGACCTAGTTTTCTGATGTCTTGTGCTGTGCTGGGTATTTTAAACACAAACAACTGTCAGTGATTAACAAATAGGACTGAAATAAATTAGAAACATAACTACAAAAGTGACAGAAAATGAAGATCTAAATGTTTCAAGAATTTACCGTGCTTTAAGAACAGACGGGTTTGTCAGCAAAAAAAGGAAGAGTTCTGTGGCTGTGACAATAAAGGGTAAATATAGTATCTAACAGTACTGTAGTTTCCAGGCAATAAACCTCCTCACTACATGGATGTTTATCTCTCACAGCAGCCCATGTTTGCTTCCCTTCCCTTCCCCCCCCTTCCCTTATTCCCAGTAGGCCTGAGGCGAGAGTGGGACAGAAGGGAAGCTCCAGGTTGCAAGTAAGTTAAATTATCTTTTTTTTTTAAATCTTTTGAAGTCTCAAAATCAAAGTAATGCACTACTTTGTTGTCTTTTCCATGAAGGCATTCTATATAAACACTTTGAATTTAGAACCACCATGAAGACAAGCAATAGCTACCTGGGACCATTAAGCGTAAGAGTTTCTGAGTTTATGCAGGTGTCTTTGTCACTAAAAGAAAACCCATACTCATAAGGGCAGGCTTCAACTACTCCATTCAACTTTACAAATTCATATCAAGATTTAGATTCAATGAACTTGTTTGTTCCAGTTTCTCATATAACTGGAGCAGCTCTTCTCCTGCAAGAGTGACACTGATGCAGAGAAAAAAACAAAACACTTTAAAAGCAGACTTGGTAGTTTTAATTTTTCATTTGAAGGTCAACTCAAAGATTTCCTGTAAGGTAATTTTTTCTATAACTAGTACTTAGTAGCAAACACATTTGATGCTCTGCTAGAAATTGACATAAAATGAGAGGAGGATCCATTAGGAGAGAACTGCAGAGTGAAAGTTACAGTATTACCCTTGAAGAGAGGTAAGCTCTGTAACACCAAGCTCCAGACCCTTTCAGTTCTGTAGGCAACCCTTAGTTGCCTGCAACAATAACTCTTCTAAAGCACTTGTAACCATGCAACATAAGATAAAATTTCCTACATAAGTGGCCATTGAGTGAATGAACTTTCAAGTGCAGCAACAAAATTTCAGTCTACTCCAGTACACGACATAGGGTAGAGTCTGATCTGGAGATGACAAAGATACTGAGAACGACTGTAAGGTTCAGAGAGAAACAACTCATTATTCAGGCAGATGGAATGGTATTCGGAAGAGACTCCTCGAAAAGCCTCCAAAATCTGAGCCTAAATCCAAGGTAACAGTCAATGGAGATGACGTATCTTTAACCTGTTTTCCAAAGTGCGTATCCTTAATTTATAACAAGTGTCCTTTTTTTCCTGGATTGAACTTAAGGTGGTAGGTACCTTACTTTTATCAGTTAGGCCAAGGAAAATATGGATATGCACCAGAAGGACACCATAGCATTTATGTGCCTATTATCATTCCTATTAAATTATTTCACATGCGACCTTGCATGAAAGTTGCACAAAGAAACCTTTGGAATGAACAAGCTATTTTTTCTTTTTCTCTAAATCCTACCAATAGATTAACAACACTGAATGTAGGCAGCTACTCCAAACATCAGCACAAGCACTTAATATTCTTCTCTTGTTAAGAGATTAGCTACTAATGATTGTTCGTATTGCTAATAATAGTTACCAATAATATTTTACCAAAACCTAAAAGGCAACTTTTGAAGAGACTGGAGGTTAGAGAACAAAAATTAATGGAAATGCCTCAGTACAACCTCCAGCTTCACTGGAAAGATTGTCAAGATGGGCCAATAAAGTTTTTTTTCAATATCAGCAGATCCCTAGTCATAGTCTAACACTTAACTCAGGAAATTAAAAGCAAAATGTGTAAGAAAAATAACTGTTCAAACCATGCATCCTCCAATATCAATGTGCAGGTAGAAACTATACTATTAGCCTTGTGTTTGTTTAGTTTGTTTTCGTTTGTTTTTTTTTTTAAACCATATGCTGCTGTAACTGAAAATATGGGATGCTTTGGTAAGTGGCTGCAGAGCAAATGGACTGGTTGAACATATCAATACCAACTAGATGCCAGAACCCCGCTTCCCCTTTTAGTTTTACTGTGTCACAAGCTGAAGCTTTGCAAATCTCAGGGAACATTACTATAAGGTTTTTTAATCAGGTTTTTGTCAAACTAAAAAAAAAAACCAAAAGCACCATAGAATCCTTTAGGTTGGAAAAGACCCTTAAGATCATCAAGTCCAACCGTTAACGTAGCACTGCCAAGTCCACCACTAAACCATGTCCTCAAGCACCACGTCTACCCTTCTTTTAAATACCTCCAGGGATGGGGACTCAACCACTTCCCTGGCCAGCCTGTTCCAATGCCTGACTAACCTTTCGGTGAAGAAGTTTTTTCTAATATCCAACCCAAACTTCCCCTGGCACAGCTTGAGGCCGTTTCCTCTCATCCTATCACTAGTTACTTGGGAGCAGAGACCGACCCCCACCTTGCTACAACCTCCTTTCAGGTAGCTGTAGAGAGCAATAAGATCTCCCCTCAGCCTCCTCTTCTCCAGGCTAAACAACCCCAGCTCCCTCAGCCGCTCCTCATAAGACTTGTGCTCTAGACCCTTCACCAGCTCCGCTGCCTTTCTTTGGACACGCTCCAGCACCTTGATGTCCTTCTTGTAGTGAGGGGCCCAAAACTGAACACAGTACTCGAGGTGCAGCCTCACCAGTGCCGAATACAAGGGCACCATCACCTCCCTGGTCCTGCTGGCCACACTATTCCTGATACAAGCCAGGATGCCATTGGCCCTCTTGGCCACCTGGGCACACTGCTGGCTCATGTTCAGCTGGCTGTCAACCAACACCCCCAGGTCCTTTTCCGCCAGGCAGCTCTCC